GTATTAGTAGATTTAGTTTTTACAAATTATGTCTTGTACATGCATTCTTCACTTTGTAGTAAATTTGAAGCCTGGAGGTTTCAGATTGTCAACATTAAATCACAAAAGTCATTTCAGTAATCTTGAATTTTGACCTAGTGACTTAAAATAATCTCTATGTGTCTTTTTCCAACGGTTTCAACCCATTTAGTAGTCTGAAAAGAATCCCTTTTTACATATTACATATTAAATGTAGCTGCAGTGATCATGACTTGACCTTAACCTTATTAATAAGCAAATATTTCCATTTCTATTTGTTTTCTCTGTGATAACTCTTTGAAAGTTAGGAGAGTTGATTTCTTGATCATTCTAACGGAATGCAAATTTCGCCAAGGGAAAGGTCAGGAGCTAAGAAGGCCTAATATGCATGTAATTCTCGTGCGGCTGTCTTTGTGTTTGACGTTAGTGGGCGGGGACTATTGAAATTGACATGTGAGGCCTCGTATAATTTAAATCTATTAGTCTACATTTTTAAAATCTAAATTTACACAATTTTATTTCACAATGAAATGTAAATATAAGGAATCACTATCTAGTTAGTAGAGTATGCCAGGGACATCAACGATAGTTGGAAACGTGGGATAATTTATGCATAACGGGCTTTGCCCGTTATGCAAATTATCCCACGTTTCCAACTATCGTTGATGCCCTGGCATATCTACTAACTAGACAGTGATTCCTTAAATATATCACACACTTTCAGACATCTTAATGTATGGCTGTTATGCATGTATACTAATCCATAGTTATACCCCCCCCCCCCTCCGAAGGAAAGGGGGTATACTGTTTTACCCCTGTGTGTTTGTCCGTCTGTCTGTGTATCTGTCCATAACAAATTTTGATCGCAGTTTTCTCAGCAACTACTCATCGCAGATGCTTGAAATTTTAGCACACTCTTTGTTTAGGCATGCCATATGTTGGGATTAATTTTTGTATGAATCGGTTTATCCTTGCATCCCTCTGCACCATACATGAATTTTAGTCGCAGTTTTCTCATCAACTACTCATTGAAGATGCTTGAAATTTTAGCACACTCTTTGTTTAGGCATGCCATATCAGGTGATGTATATTTATTTTTTTACGAATCTGATGTCAACTTCTGGTTTGTTTTGTGCATCCGTCTGTACCATACGTAACAAATTTTAGTTGCAGTTTTCTCATCAACTACTCATTGCAGATGCTTGAAATTTTAGCACACTCTTTGTTTAGGCATGCCATATAGTGGGATTCATTTCTGTATGAATCTGATGTCAACTTCCAGTTTATCCGTGTATTCATGGCAAATGCTTGAAATTTTAGCCCACTCATTGTTTAGACATGCCATATGTTGGGGTTCATTTTTGTACAAATCCAATGTCCACTTCCTGATTATCACTGTGTCTGTCCATAACTGAACTTGTATATTCACATCAGAGCGGGAGTAATATTAGTGAGCATTGGCTCACAGACTTTGTTTTTTTTTAAATTATGCTACTTTTGATAAAGTTTTGGTTTGTAGAACATGCTAAATACATGAGTGTGTATAGTTCCAAAAACATTTGATGTATAATTGGAAATTAAATGTTACAGTTTCAACTTTTCTATTTATGCTAAATAGTTATTGGTTGAAGGCTAGGTAAAAACTAACCATATACCAAATTTTATATATGATGGTTATCATGGATATAGACGTTGATAACCAAGCAATTGGTAAAGAGTGCTTCGTAAACTGATGAACTGTTAACAGTAGGGTTTGACAGGTGATGATGAAGCCCTGTGCTCATTATAATTGTAACCCAACAGATAAAAGCAGAGAAAGTGAGGTGTGATTTTATAGAATGAATGACACCATGAATGAAAGACCTGATACTGTTAAGTATCTGCCAACAATTACAACTGAGTCATATACTAGTACTTTCTCCTCTCGCCAACTTCAACTGCTAAGATGGATGGCATGAAATCACACATGTAAATACTGCTGTGTACATGATTGTTTTTAGCTGACTAATAGATGTATTATTACTAGACGTGAAAACATGATCTAGGTGGCTGATATAGGTCTTTTGGGAAAGTTCAATTCATTGAAGTACTGCATATGTGTGTAATGCATCAATCTGTGTAGAGCTTGCTGACTGTTTTATTTGTTCTTTTATTGGCTATAGTTTGCCTAAATGAACCTCCACACCCCCACCCCATCCCCATTTTATGGTGGTGTTAATATTGGAGACCATAAACTGCATTAAAAAGTCAGTGAATATTGTAGTTATTAAAGCCTAATAAGCACATCATGGTTTGTTACTCCTGCATAAGTATTTTAGGGGGCCAACTGGGGTTCTCATTGCGCAGTACTTCACGCCGCTTAGTAAAGTCAAGCTTATTTATTCTTTTAAAGCAACCATTTTCACGTAAAGAAGCGAATTTTACAAAATTGAGAAAATACTGGTTAAAAATTTAATAACAATTTTATATAACTGATTTTTTTAAATTTTTCAACTGATGGTTAAATGATGTATTTGTGATGTTATGATAAACTGAAGTTCTTTAAGAGGGGGTCATAAAAAGTGTTATAAAAGAAAAGGTATAAAATATATGCTCTTGAAATTTTAAACACAGTGATCTGAAAATCTTGCAATTCCTTTCTGAATATTTTTGTTTAATCATTAGTATCTGTCATATTCTGAAGTACTCCATAAAAACTGGAAATTTTCAAAACATTTTATATTTTGTCCCCTCTTGGAAGCAAAACGATAAGAGTTTTGTGTTTATTTAAGAAATAAAGTTCACGTTTTCGTGAATGTTGCAGGATAATCTCCAAGTTCTTGAAATGGCTTATTTTGTCTTCTTGCCAGTCCGAATGACTGGCTATCTGAAGAAGTTTTCCGAAGCTCTGTGGTCAGACTGTCCAAAAATTGATTTGGTCCGATGATGAAGTTACAATATTCGGTCCAAATGTCTCTTCATTGAAATTTGTTTTTTTTTTCTTTTTACTTATTAATAAATTTATTGTTTATAAATATATAATACAGGCGATTCTTGTAAACTCTGAAGTTCACGGGACCACTTATCTCAAGTTCAAAAATCGGCGTTTTCTCCCGATGGTTATAAAGATACATAAATAAAACAGTTTTCCTCTCAGTTGAATGTTTTGAAGAAATAATTGCACCAAATTTACAGTACTACTAAACAACATATTCTTTGTTTATCTTAGTGATTCATTTAAGATCTATTTCATCTATTATTAGCAAATTGTATTAAAAGTTTAATATGGTCGTACAAAAAGGAAAGTAGAAACGGCAGCGTATATAACGTAGATAAAAAACAAAACAAAAAACATTCAAAAAAGTTTCTCAGGTAATACTACTGAATAAATAATGTATTTAACATTATACATTGCTACAGGTAAACTTTGATATCTCGACATTAGAAATGTCGATAACCTGGGATGTGTTGACGTCCTTCCGCGGTCCCGGCAGTATTTACTATAGAAATGATTTGCAAAAACTCTTGATATATCTACCTCGGTAATGTCGACAACCCGGGTTATCTGGGCGTATATTCACAGTCCCAAGAGCAAAATTTACCTGATATATGTCGACATCAGCAAATTTTTTGCTCTACTGAACCTAACTGTTTGTCAGATAGGGTCGCTCGTCACGCACGGACGACTCCGGATATCTCGACGTCGTCAAAATTTCACACCTTTCACACCCATGTTTGACTGCACACTGCTTAATTAATTCTATAGACTGTGTTTGTAGGTGAATTCCAAGCCCCCTTGGCATCTTTGAGAAGTTAATTGCTTAATGTTCAGCTTGGGTAATATCATTGCTAAATGTACACGATTCTGCGTAAATGTACAGACGGTTATTCATATCGAAGCCTAACATAACTTTTAAATTTAAAAAAGGTAACTAAATTACAATGAATAACAAACACACTGAATAATTCAAACTAAGGAATTAAAAGATGTTATAATGATATTTTGTAGTGAAAATGTATTCAACAGAAAACAATCCAATTAATGACACAATGGACCGAATCAGCCGTAATTCATGCATCTGTAACATCACTACATTAGTTTAGATACACAAATCTCTTTAAAAAATTAATTTTAATGTACATTCTTCCTGAATGAAATAAGGAAAAAATGATCCGTATTTAAATTTTTTTCCGTATATCGGATGTCGACTTTACAAGGTTCGAAGTTTATAGAGTGCATTAATTTCGTATCCTGTTCTGACAAAAGGCAAGTTACACACGAATGCTGTAACTTTGTGCTGAAACTTTGTGAATTTAGAAAGATTTCGATAAAGAACACGTTTTATAAACAAGATTTTTAAAATAACTTCGTAGATTTTTAATAAAAATAGAGGGAATTCTGAAATATGTTGAGCTACAGTCTATATTGAAGTCATGTACATATAATAAGCTTGTCGATTTTTTTCTATGCAGTAAAATCTTGGAGGTCAAGTATCAACTCTGATATCTCGACACCTCGGATATCTCGACGTTTTCTGATGGTCCCGTCGATGTAAAGATAAAGAAGTTTACCTGTATTTTATTTTGTTTCTTTTTTATAGTATTGTTTGCCTTGTTTACGAAAATAAACACATCAATAGGTCGCCAATCCATATTGCATATGATACAACTGACTCAATCTAAATTTCTGAACGTCTTGGAAAACACCTAATAAAAAGAAATGCCTTTGTTGATAAAAAGTTTTGGTCCGGCAAAAATTCATTTGGTCCTGTGAAATTCAGCAGACTGTAGTTCCGAATGTCTGGTGTTAAAATATTTTGTTCCCAAACACTGATAACTTAGGCCCAAATCTACAACTTTTTGAGAAACCGAAATTGCATAAATGTTGCATCTAGGGGTGCACACTACCAGATTAATAGTTTAGTGTGGGACTTTGCCTTACTTAAAGACAACATTCATTGAGGTGAGCTCTGTAATCTCTGATAACGTATGTTTAATTTCAGTGGGTCAGGATGGAGGTGTAGTGGAAATAATGTCAGAAAACCCACTTGTAGTACCTGGTAAAAGCAGTACCAGGATTCAGTGTACAGCAAGAGGGGTAGGAAATGAAGGAGCAAATTTAAGGTGGTATGGCCCTGATGGAAATGCCATTGGTACAAACTTATTAGATAGGTATGTTAAAATAAATATCTAAATATTTTTATCTTTTTGATGAATGAATTCAATATCATTTGATTTTGTTATTGATTTGACAGTGTATATTGTATAAAAATTAATGTTTTAAGTAAACATTTTTTTTATTTTAAGCTTTGTTAAATATTGACATCATGTATGTACAATTATTTACAGGGTATATACTCTAAGTTACGCAGCAGGCTCCCTGTCAGTTATCATCACAAATGTCCTAGAACAGGATGCTGGGGAATATACATGCAATGGAACAATTAATGGAACACCAAAAACTGCAAAAATCTCAGTGTCTGTCAACATGCCCCTTGAAATTACAGAAGAAATGGCACCAAGGTCACAGAAAGTTGAAGAAGGCACCCAAGGCTTAATTAAGTGCACTGCCCCTGGGGGATACACGATAGCTTGGATAAAGGATGGCAGTCCAATTGGTCAAGGTAAATACTTTGATTTTTCAAAAAGCAGAACTAAATTCATTTTTTTGGTCCAAATTTAGAATCAAATCCAGCTGATGGATTGGTGATGTCCTGTTCTCTTTAGAGAAGTGGACAGGCGTTCTCCTACATCCACTTCTCTTCGAAAGCCTTCATGTTTTGATTCTGGAAAATGTATAAATTTAGAACCGGTGACGCCCTACACGTTAACTAATATTTCATCTAAAATATGCCTGAATGTATGCAACAGACATGTTATATTAACAATTTCAACATAAATAAACACAACTGTAACAAGAAAACTTCGTATCAGAACATGTGAACTTCTTGGCTTACCCGTGATATTATCGTATTGAGAAAATAAAATGGTATCTTTTGAGTAAAACATTTTAATAGTGTTTTATATATATATATATATATATATATATATATATATATATATATATATATATATATATATATGAAGTTTCTTTAGTTGAGACTTCCTTGAATTCTGCTACACAACGTATGTTCTCCAACTTGCCTGTTCAATGCTGTCGTAGTTTGACTCTGTTGTTAAACAGTATCCATAAATACTGTAGTATACGACAGCTATAAATTAGGGAAATACCCCAGACCAAATGATAATTATTTCCATTTTTAAACATCGTGGACATATTTTTTTTTTACATATTTTATATAGGAATTATTTACAATATTAACTTCGATGACCGCCATTTTTATATTTCTTGTATTAGGGATTAGCTAAAGCACGCAAATAACTATTACATATAATAGTGAGCAATTGAAATTAATAATATTTTCATGCTATAATTTGGCCTGTGATATTGATGTAAAAATAAATTTAATTAAGAGTACATTTGCAATTTAACAGTCATCATGAATTTAACAGCTTTGTATGTTCAATGATGTGTAGCACTAATACCCCTATTACGGCACGTGCTGTTAATCACGCCTCGCAGGTGGTTAAACCAACACAGCTAGGTGTCAACACCTTTTTGTACACAGTGTATATCCCTTTTTCTGTCCGACAATTAAATTTCAAACAGAAGCCAATCTTTGAATAAATCAGTGAGTGTACCTCTTGAGTACAAGGAAGATAAGTGCACTTTGTTAGTTAATTAGATATGAAATATATTTATGACTAGCGGTATATTTGATAAGTAAATTTTGGAATTACTGGCAACAATTTATTTCACGCATTTTACATTTAAAAAAAAATATCACAAGACAGTGAAAAAATATTTAGGTAGACTACTTCAATTCATCTATACACATAAATGGTAAAAGCAAGGATGATGATTATTTACCAAATTGCTGTAAATTGTGAAAACTTCTCGGTATTCTAAATTTTGATACGGTTGCGGTTTTATTTTTAGTGAACGAGTGCGACTTCCAACTTCACAAGATGGAGACAGATAGCATGTTGTAAAATATACTTGGATGAAACATTATTTACGAGATGATTAAATAATTTTTTTTGGTACATCGATGGATATTTAAGGGAACTTCAATAGCATATACATTTAATTCTTTATTGTATATTATTTATTCTTGCTAAAATAATTTAAAAAGTTACGAAAATTGTACAGATTTGTTTTAAAATTGACTTAAATTTTAATAGGTTGGCTAATAAAGGAGCACAATTAGTTCCCACTGAAGTTCAAACAGATTATTGGAAAAGACTACATAAATATCCGCTGCATTTCATATCAGGAATTCTGCATTGCATTTCTGACATTTTTTTATTCTGACAATTTTATTTCATTTCTGACATTTATAGGTTTTTTTTTAATTTCCAGAACATGTACATGTCTATAGAGAATTCCTTGAACAATGATGGCTTTATTCCCTTGACTAGTTTCTGTATGCCTTATAATTTCCATCTTAACCTATAGATATGATTTCAAACTTAAACTGAACATTTGAAAAGGAGATGAACAAAAGTTCTCAACACTTACATATGCCTCAGGGAAAAAATAATCTTTATTTTTTTTGCTACATTGATAGCTAAGCAAAACTCATTATTTGGATTTCAATGATTTATTCATGATTTATTCTTTAAAATTTTTTAAAAGTGAAGTCTTCAATCCTCTTTCTTTGCGGAAAGTACTACCTGATTAATGTCGGAGATCAAAGCTTAAAAATGTCAGAAATGAAAACTATAAAATGTCAGAAATGAAAGGTTGAAAATTTCAAAAAATTCCGGAAATGAAATGCAGCCTAAATATCAATGAGGAGCTCAACCATCTTTTTAATATCAACCTTATAGTAGTTGTATGTAGAATTAAGGACATACACAACATAGATAAAACTTTGTTGTCTTTTTCCCTGGAGCTGAAGAGTTCCAGTACTTAAAGGAACTGAGTGTGCTACATTTTAATGTCTATATGTGCTGTTGTACATTTCTTCTAAAACAAGTTTGGATAAACAAAACATCTAGAATATATGTTTAGTAATTTTTGTGTATTTTTCTTTGAAATATACAAGAATTTTCATCAATTGATATCTTTTCAAAACCCCTGGTAATGCATGCTGATTTTTTGTCTACGAACATCTGATGGCACTATAATCTTAAATAAGAATATCTTGAAAAATTATCATTACGTAAGGTACGTTGCATATGTCCTTAAAATGATTTTTAAAAAAGTAATTTTTTAGGTGACAGTCACAAGATTTGAAAATTTCTTAGTTCTCATATTTTTGTTGCTGTTCATTGATGCACTGTAAAATCAGACATGGTTCCAGTTCATCATGAAAGTAGACCTATGCCTTTCTTTTGACTATGCAGTTAGTAAATGATTCACAAGGCAATGTCGTTACTGCAATATAGTTGTTTAAACAAAAAAATGGTCAATTTATATTATCCCAAACTACCAGGTATTTTACTATAATTATCAAACATGTCAAAATGACTAGTACATCTAGTAAAAAATGAAATCAACAATACTGTATCAGATGAATGAATTATAGGGATGTCTTCTTAGGTATGAGTTTAACGTTTGTTGCCAACAATATTACTTTATTCTGCTTTTAAATTGATAGTAAATGGTCTACTTTGAAGTCCAAATTGTTGTTAGATTGTTTGATTTTTGTAACATATTGAAGTTTTAGAAACAAAAAACACCAATAATCATAACATTTCTCATAGATTTGATGCCATATTTTCAATTTTGTACTCTAATTTGGAAAGAAAAAAAATTCAATGTTTTTTGCTTTTATTATTAAAATTTCATCTTTAATTGATATAAAACTTCTTCAGACTCAAATGGAACTGATGGTAAGTTTGATCATGCTTTGCATGGAGTCAACCCAGCTTAAAAAGTGAATTTTGTTTCTCAATTAAAAACAAAAAAACACAGCTTTGAGGTAGATATGAAGAAGAGGTATCTTTCAAAGTATTAATTGGCCCTCCAGAATAAAAAAATCAAAGGATTTTTTATCTTATTTAGTTTTATTGAAGTTTGTTAATCCAAGTTTATATTGCCCCATATGTCTGACTGTCATGACTGTGTCTTAACTTTTCACATGCATTTACAACTATAACTTTGTAAATTAAGTCGGTTGCAATCAGAATTTTCTTGAGGAATAGGAAGTTCAAAACTTGTTCAAATAAAGGACCATGAAATGGTAAAAAAAAAAAGGGGGGGGGGCTGGGATATAAATGCTGTCTTTTTCTCAGAAACAACACTAGAAAAGATAAAACTGACATAAACAGGGTATGGAAAATTGATAGTAATACACATTGTAGATATATCTGGTAATTTTACTGCATTCATTATGTTCATTGTACATTATATAGAGATTTTCAATTTAAGAAGGTTATCTATAAATGAAAAAAAAATTGCTATTAGAATGTCAAGGAACAGAAGCAAAGTTGTCCATATTCAGGTCTTTTGTTAAAGGTGAAAGATGCATGGCTGTCTTATACATTTTTTTTTTCATTTTGTACAAATTTCATGAATTTGAAAGTCTTATTTGCTTGCTAAATTTAGTTTTGTATAAATCTATTTGTTTAAGGTTTTGCCAAAGGTCAAGATGTCCAAAAATTTATTTTTACAATAGCTCCAAAACTATGTGAGGTATAAAGTTAAAACTTTTACAGTTTATAAATATATCATTGATTAACAGATATAAAGTATCACTTGAAAGCAAATATTTAAAAAAATAAATTTTTTTAGAAAAAAAAAATTCAAAAAAATTGCATATTTTTAAAAAAAAATGCACCTGCTTAATTCTGTACTTTTAGTGAAAACCATCATTGCAGAAATAATATATGTTTATCAATGAAGGGCAAGTTGGACGTGAATGGTCTCTGAAAGGCTGTTATTGAAAGCATGACATGTATAAAGACAAGACCCCTATAAAATCCGCCATTTGCAATGTACATGTACTTTCGGTTTCAAATCTTAACATTTGGACAAAATAAACTGGGAAAACAACTTTCCAGAGGCTATCAAAGTCCAACTTGCCCTTCATTGATAAACATATATTGTTTCTTCAATTATGGCTTTAACTAAAAGTACGGAATTTTTTAGGTGTATTTTTTAGAAATATATCTATTTTTTTTAAAGAATTTTTCTCGATAAATATTTTTTTTAAGTATTTGTTATCAAGTGATACTTTCTATCTGTTAAACAATGATATATTTATAAACTGTGAAAGTTTTAACTTTATAAACCACATAGTTTTGGAGCTATTGTAAAAATTAATTTTTGGACAAGTTGACCTTTGGCAAAACCTTAAGCAGTTATATATATGCTACATATCTACAAGATATCAACCCCTATGGTTGTTCTTTAAGTTTGATGTATATTTTCTTCGAATTTGACTTAAGTGAAAAATTTGTCAACAGGCTTGTTATCTTAAAGCCTCTCAATGAAGGCATGTTGCTTTTTCCTCCCATTGAGAATACTTGCTTTCATACAGATGTTTGTGGGTTGAAACTATAACTTGAAAAAAAAGGAGAATAACTGAATTTTTGTACCATTATTATTTTTTTTGTGCATCAGTGACATAAAGGCAACTTGTTATTAAAATAGGCTTGAAGTTTGATGGTTAAAATGTTACTTCTTCCAGAATAAAATCATTTGACAAAATCTACAGTATGTATTAAAATGAAATATGATGTTATATTTATCATGTTTTATTTATGATTGTAGAACATCCAAGATATTCTCAGGTTTCAGAGGGACTTGAAATCAATAAAGTAAATCGCAGTTTGGATGAGGGAATATTTATTTGCAATGTGTATGGAACTGGAGCTGCTTCATCAAAAATTGAATTTATTAACATACAAGTTACAGTGACTGGTAGGTATATATGGTGTTAAAAAAAATTAAGTGACATTTCTAAAACAAAAAAGAAATACAGGGCATGGATTTCCCTTTTGGCTCCACTTAATCAGAGTTCTATTGTTGACCAGGCACATTCACCAACATAAAAGATTTAATGTAGGAATAACATTAATATTTAGCTCACCTGAACCAGAGGCTCAAGTGAGCTTTCCTGATTGAAATTTGTCCAAGGAGTAAGTTATCACATTGCAAAAAAAAAAAAGGTGCCCAAAACACTCAGAAAATTGAAAGTGGGCCATGTACATGTATTACCAAACCAAAGATGAAGTCCAAGAATTATTTGCTTGTATAAATAATTGTTTATAGGGAAAAACACTGCATCACTCTTTTTTCAAGTTTTGGGATTTGCTCAACAGATATCTAAGCTAGAATGGCATTGGGTCATCAAAATTTATCAAATATATATACATTTGAACTTCGGTATCTCGAACATGAATATCTCGAATACCATGGATATGTCGAAGTCATTTTGAAGTCCCAACTACTTATTCCTTAAGTATTGTACCCTGGATATCTTGAATCTTCAGTTATCTTGAAGTTTTTTCTCGGTCCCTTCAAGTTCAAGATAACGAGATTTGACTGTATGTGTATGTATTTGTACATACACGTATGTACTATGTAGATATGGTTTTGTCATTTCTGTTATCCAGACCAGCTGTATGCTGAATCATCAAACTATGTTTTTTTGAGAGAGAGATAAGCTCACTTTAGCATATGACTGTCTGAAGGAATATTTTATTAGGTTAATCTTAAAAATTTAGACAAATAAATTGTGTGAATAACTCCACTCAACCTTGATTTCTTGTTTAAAAAGTTCGTCCAAAAATCACGAGACCTCCAAGTGCAGGACAGGCGGTAGAAGGAGCACAGTACCGGTTTGAATGCAGAGCATCAGGAGAACCTTCTCCAGAATACCATTGGTTTAAGGTACTTCTTAGAGCATTGATTTACAGAACCATAAAATTTATTGTAAATATGGTAAATCTTTGTAAAAACCTAGAAGATAGTGTCTGTCATAAAAAGAAAACCATAGAAATTTCTGTTTAAATTTACTTCATCAATTTAAAAATGTCAGAAAATCTCAATTTTAAAAAATAAGGATGAATTCATGAGAATAAAAAATGTTGGCATATTTATTCTAGTATGACTAAGTGTGTATTAAAAATGTTGGTAGCTTTATGCATTTGACTGGATAATACTTCAGCTTATAGTTGGGTTTCAGTGTAGATTAGATAATTGTGTTGGAAAATGAAACATTAACTTTAGTCTCTGAGCAGGATAATAAAATCAATACTTGACATTTACTGCACAGTTATTTGTTAACCTCCGCAAACATACAGTAAAAGAAAGCTTTATATACTTTATTACTTTATGTACTTTTTTTCATGTGTTTTTCATGTTACTTTTAAACATAAATTGGTGTACTTTTAGGATGAAAGTAGTAATGAACTTGTGGGGGATAGGTTTGAGATTGACAAACAGAACGGAATATTGACCATCAAAGAATCAAAAAAGGATGACGAGGGTCTGTACAAATGTGAGGCTAGGAATGAAGCTGGAGTGGACAGTGCAACAGCACAGCTAAGGGTCATTAGTAAGTCTTCATTGTAAATGTCAAATGATTTGCTATGGGTTTTTTTTTTAACATCAGTTTTCTGGGATCATTTCAGTCATTTCCATTCAAGAAGGAAGGGTAAATGAACAAGAAAATGTATAAAACAGCTACCGTATATCCAGTTTTTTTTTTTTTTAAGATGATCTATTTCTAGCGATCATTTTTAATTTGCAAAAAATAAAACAAAAATTATGTTCATTATTGTGTGCCATAAAAACATTACCATTTTTTCATAATTATTTTTTTAAATCATAAAAAATAACTTATGCAAAATAAAAACTGTACAAATCTACCCTTTTTTCACAAAATTTCCAACATGCAAAAAAACCTGGTAATTTGAGACATAATCATGATAATATGCACCAAATACATACTATATTGTAGAGCAAGAGATTAACTTGCAGTTGTTGGTAGTTTTGCTGGCATGAATTACTAGCCGAACACTCAATCAAAAGATTACTCACATTTTAAAACTTGAAATTTTAATTCTGCACTAGTTTGAAGAGAGTAATTGATCATAGTACGTAAACATTTCTGATTTCAAATGGTTGCTAGATAGAGAAAAATATATTTATTTTCTAACTTTTTTATTTTATAAAAAGAATTTTTCTATGTCATTTATTATATGAAAGGTTTTACAAAATTGAATTGAATTTCAGTACCACCTAAAATTCGTGAGTTCAATAATGGAACAGGGGAAGAAGGTAAAGATGGCACCTTACGCTGCAAGGCCTATGGCGATCCTATTCCTACCATCAAGTGGCTTAAAGGAGATGTTGTGCTTCCTGATGGAGCACCTGTAAGATATTTGGGAATTCTTTTAATAAAAAGTTATTATGAAGAAACATTTTCTTAGACTAAAATTAGAATAGAGATTCTAGTCTTATTTTTAATGATATCATTCAGGTTATCAACATAATGTGAAACAGAGACTTACCTCCAGAACCTAAAGAAATAAGATACAAGTGTGAAAAATGATGGGAATTTGCAAATCAGAGGAGATATTTCTTGTTACCGTATACTGAAGGATATATATAACTGTGATGATTTGGCTGAGAGGAAGATTTTCCTTATTTTAATTTTTTGTATCTTTTAAAATACATGTATGTTTTCACTTTTAATTTGTAGACCCAGGATATGAATGAGAAAACAGTAGTTTCAAGATTGACTATATCCCCTCTTACAAAGGATGATGGTGGGCAGTACACTTGTGAGGCAGCCACTCAGGGTGCAGAAAGTGACAAAAAACATGCTTATCTCATTGTCAAATGTAAGGTCAAAAATCATTAAGATCTATTAACTGACAATAAGCTAGGTTTACTTAATGCATAAAATGGCCTGTTCATATCCCAATTAATTAACTAATACCCAATGTCCATTTCAAACATCAATATAAAATAGAGACTTAGTGCTTTCATTTCCTATAACAAAGTTTCCTTTGAGAGTCCAGGTATTGGAGAGGGGGGATTATGAAACTGCAATGTTCCAAACTTGCATTTTTCAGAAAATTTGTGTATTTGAGTACCTTCAGCAAAGAATTAAAATATGAGCATACCCCTCAATCCAAAAAGTAAAACATTTTATAATCTGCAGAAATGGTTCTATCATTATATACCTGCACATTTTAGATCAGAGGTTGTGTTGTATAGAAAATATTGAAAAATAGCTTAAATTTTTTACCATTTTTGAAGGAGTTTTCAGAATAAGGGTATAAGGACGCAATCTACCATCAAAATTTGGCTAGCGAGAAATTTACATCATTTTCAATAGATATGCAGTTACCAAGGGTCCAGGTGATATTTAATGTCCTCTCAGTATATATTGAGAGCCCATTGCTTGACATCAAACTTGGTACACTTTTGCCTTTGAGAGTAGATGACCCTAGGGCTGTGTATTGAGCAAAAAATTTCGATACAATACAATAAAATATTTTATAATGCGATATGCGATATATTGGGTGCTTTAAAATGTCTATCAAAAAAGTCTTATAAACCATTTAATGCATGAGTTTTATTAAAATTAATTGTTTTACAACTCATATCAAAGTTCTTGTCTCACTGTCATTACTCATTACACTTCAAATTCAAACTTCCAACGACTGTAAAATCAACATGTTAAATAAAGTTGTCTATGTATTTTGTAATAATTATCTAAGATGTGCTACCTCGTTAAAAATTATATCATTATTGATCAATTTTAATTCAAAATAGTTAAATTTAATCCTTGGTAATTGAAATTTCTAACTTTTTCACGGAATTTATATGAAAAAATGCCTGCCCGATACGTATTGGAAGTTATTTTTTCGATACGATACATTCTTGAATATCGATACATATAGGTATTTCGATATATTGATACAGCCCTAGATGACCCCTATTATTTTGAGGGCACATGGTCAAGGAACAACTACTCTAAGGTAGATTTTGTCCATTCATTATCTTGAGAACCATTTGCTTGACAGTTATCAAACTTGATACATTGGTTTCTGTTAAGGATTAGATGACCTCAATTGATTTTGAAGTCACCAGGTGAAGGGTCAAACTGGGATAAGGAGATATTGACTGATAAATATCCTGAGAACCCTTTGCTAGATGCACATCAAACTTGGTACACTGGTGCCCATTTGAGGAGTAGATGACCACTGTAGATTTTCAGGTTACTGTAGGAAGATATTGTCTGTTCGATATCTTGGGAAGCCATTGCTTGAAAGATATTAAACTTAGTACATAGTGGATCCCTATTTTACTTTAAGGTCTTAAGGTCAAAGGTCAAGATTTTGCAGTCGCAAGGTCAAAGGTCAAACAGCATATGAAGATATTGTCAGCTCAGTATCTTGAGAACCATTTGCTGTAGACATCAAATTTGGTACTCTCTGAGAAGTAAATTAACCCTGATGATACTGAGATCTGATAGAAATCAAACTTAGTATTATATAAATTTGTCTGGAGTAGTAGATGACCAATTGTTTTTACTATCATTACAGACACTCTAAGGTTGTTTCCTTTTTAATATTGCCACTTTGGGGGCATATATGTTTCCTAAACATTTTTTGTTTTATAGGGATTTGCTCTGTGTAATTTAGGGCATTGGTTTTATGGGAAAAATTGATCAGATAGTAGGAGGTTATGCTTCATTCATGAACACATGGCAGTTTGTTCTTTTTTTCAAATCATATGTGGTACTTCTAATTTCTCAGATCATTGTTCGCTGATGTTTAACAACAATAGGATTGGAAAAATCTGTTATGTACTGAAAATTCTGTTTTATGTAGATAAACCTGCCTTTAATCCTGGCATGCCAACCACAGCATGGACATGGCAAAATGCACCTGGAAACCTCACCTGTGAAGTGGAGGGAGAGCCCAGACCTAGAGTGGAATGGTTTTCAGTTCCCAATGAAAACGGAGAAAGAACCCCAATTTCTGAAGGAGGACGCTTTTCCATAACAAACAAAAATAAAGGAACAAATACAGTTATCAGTACTTTGAGGGTAAGTGATGAAAGTCGTGTTAAAATTTGCATTACACATTAAGTGACAAAGTCTCAGTTTCATGGATTTATTTTTTGTGTGTAAAAAATGGAAAAAAAAATCCTTATTAATACCAAATTGGATAGATTATGCTTTTAGGGAACATAAAGCCATTCTTTTTTTTCAGATGCTGCTTCTTGCTTGTATGCTAAATAGATAAGTTAAGGTTAAGTTTTTGATAAGTCAATTGCTGATTACTTTGTAACAATACATGTATTGTAGGCTTGCTGTGAATGTTGTATTTCAAGTGAGCAACCAAGTTTATGTATTTAGAGTAGGTCAGATCTCATAGTAGGGTGCATACCAGCAAACCCCCACCAGATATGCATTAAGCTGTACTTTTCAAATGGAGAAATTAAACTGGAATTTTTTGAGAAGGGCTTTTCTTTCAAAGTGCTGTAAGCCAAGCTCATATAGATGATGCATGTTAATTGTGTTGAAACAAAAATATAAAATTTTTTGTTAGAGCCATAAATTTATAGCAAAGCAACATGAGCAGTATATTTATACATGTATTTGACAAAGATTGGTTATATCTTAGTTATGTGGATATAATTGTGTTCCTCATATTATTGTCCTGGTTCATGGGCCTTTTATATGCATATGATTGATATAAAGATTTCTTTATCTTTCACTTGCACCATTTGGAAACTTATCAAAAACAGTAAAATTTATTAACATAAAAAAATTTCAGTCTAGCATTTGAAAAGCAATCCTTTATAAAATTGGCTCTCTCTGTGAACAGGGTTTTACATTTATGCTTTTTCTTACTTGTCCATTTGGAAATTGTGAAATTTACTTGTCCAAACATAATTTTTACAAGTCCAAAAAAATTTTCAATGAAGATCTAGTTGACAGCTTGAAAAATTTAAATTGAATCTATAATAAATTCACTGAGTCTGTTACAGTCAAACTTGTCATAGCGGTCACCTTTATCCAGCGGTCACCTGTCCTATGCGGTCATTTTATTTCCTCCCAATGAATTGTCCTATATAATGTAACTCTATTAAGCGGCCACCTGCGTAATGCGGTCATCAAACTTCATGTAAAATCGCCGTTTTACCTCGTATATAACGGCCATTTTGTCCAATGACGTGACCAGATCTAGAGTCAGGTGACTCCCAATTTTTGTCACTAATGTAAATAATTAGTCTAGTATGGCGAGATCATGGAAAAATAATTAGCCTAATTAAAACCGTTTGAAATATTGGATAATTTATTTATTTTATTTAAAGAAAACTCAAACAAGGGTGTTAATGACCGAAATGGTTATCAGGAAAACGAATTATGAAAATTGGAATCTGGTTTAAAAAATTCTGAGTGATATTAAAAAAACAACGCATCCTTATTTATCTATTAATGGATACAATATTTAGGTGTTTCCTAATTATTAGTTCACATTTGGCGAGATAGAACGTTCTATCGTTAAAATGATATTGTCCTATGGACCCGGTTTAACCGTGTGGTGAGGGCTTGTCCCGAGACACAGTTAGATTATTCTAACTAACATTTGGCATGCCCAACTCCGATAGGTGTTATTGTGTAAACGCATGGCAGGCAGTTATTAACACCTAGGAAACGTATCATTTGTAGAACCCTAAAACTGTTTTATATATAACTGCAACAAACCACTGATAGAATCACCAAAAATAGGACTATGCAAAGCTAAAATATCAACATTTTGTTAAATTTTTTGCAAAAAGTTGTGACCCAGAAAAAAAATGGTAAAAATACAGTATGTTGCCCTTGTTTAATTTTGTTTCAGTTCCCTTACCCTATACTAAAAATTACAAACCTTGTCAGATCAGGGCTCGACATTAACTTTTTTTCCTACTTGTCCATTCGGACAAGTGACAAAGACATTTACTTGTCCGAACTTCAACTTCACTTGTCCGAAAAATTTTCAATAAAGATCTAATACTGTTAACTGAAAAACTAAAAATAAAGTACATTACATGTGCATGATGTTATTTTCAAATACAACGAACACATAAAACAATATTTTATCTAGACTTTCTGTCCTGACAACATAAATGCTGTCAACATAAAACAGAATCCGAACTCAGTTCCATGCCTTTGCAGTAGTATGCAATTAGTGAACTTCAATCCCGATCGAGTGTACTCAATTAGGGCGCGTCGATTTACCCAAAAGGACCTAAAAGAACCCAAAATAACCCAAAAGGAACCCAAAAGGACTCAAAAGGAACCCAAAAGGACTCAAAATGAATATATTGTGATATACTGAAAATTAATAATTTGAATGAAATAATGAATATTACATTATAAATTTACATAAAAGTTGGCAAAAAGTTTTATTTTATGACTTGTTCTAGGCATATGGTATCGGGGGTGGGGGTAGGGGAAGGGGGCCACCCTAAACACACACTCCCCCCCCCCCCCCCCAAACTACTGTTTTATTTTCAATAAAGTATGAGAGTGTTCATTGAATATCCAGATATCCCCTTTACTTCATGTCCTTTTGGGTTGCTTATAATTTACTTCTGGATCCTTTTGGGTAAATCGACGCACTGCTCAATTACATAGCGATCTATGTCGGGATCAAAGTTCGGTTTTTATGTACTGTTTACGTCTTAAAGTACAGGTAAACTTTTAACAGTCGTTCTTTTAAATATTTAGAGTCTTCTTTACATAAAAATGCACTTGTCCTATCGGACAAGTGCCCAGCAATATTCACTTGTCCGTATTTTTTTTTCACTGGTGCCGGACAAGCGTTAATGTCGAGCCCTGCAGATCCATAATGAACTTCGATCTTAATGGAGTGTGACAACCAGGATTAAAATTCATTATTTAGATTGAGATTGAGTTTAACTATTTTTACTTCATGTTTTTAATTTGAACTTCTAATAAAAAGCTCATTTTCAACTTTTTAAAATAAAAAAAAAATTCCACAGAAAAATGACTTGACCAATCAGAAAAGTGCCCTGCTACATTCAGTTGTCTGTGAAAAGAATTCATCGGTACTTAATAAGCATACAACTGTTGATGTCTAGACCTGGTGAACTTTTTTGTTGATCCTGTGTTTTATGTTACATTGTTTTTGTTTTAGGTTGTCTATGATTTCAGTGTACCATTAGGAGAATATCTTTGTAAAGCCATAAATGATTTAGGAGCCACAAACAGAACAATTAGACTGAGAAAAGCAGGTAAGGACTGTGTAGGACGGTTGGCCGGCATCTTTCATTTATTTATTTTTAGTTGTAGAAAAAGGTTATATCTGAAAGGATTTTAAATGTCAGTTATCGTTTGTATACAATTAGCTATTTTATCCTTGTTTCGAACCCTTTGGTGGGGGTAGGGCACTGATGGCATTACAAATTTTGCATAGGAATATGTTGAAGAAAATTGATTAAAACCTTCTTCTAGATCTGTGTATATCATGTTTCATCTCTCTATCCACCTGTTGCTGTGTATTATTTATCAATCATTAATATAAATATTGAAAACTGTCTAAAATCTGGTGTTATAGATTTATTCTTTCTTCCACATGGAATGGTACTCTCATTGACACATTCAAAGTAAACGATCATAAAACATGGATATGAAGGTGGAAATTGAACACTAAAATTACATATATATAAAAGTTGTAGAAGCATATATAAAAATTATAAAGATATATGTACTGAGGTGAATGTAATTAAGCACTAGACATAAGAGATGTTTCAGCTTGTTATGTACTGTGTTTCAGATCCCCCAGCCTCCCCCTCTGTATTGGTAGTAGAAGTGACACCAAACACAGCTGACTTTACTGTACAGTTCAGTTCCATGGCTAATGCACCACCACCAAAGCGATTGAAGGTCACCATTACTAGTTCACCTCCACAAGCTATGGACCCCCAATATTTTGATGTTGGTTAGTATTGACCACTTTTCTTAACTTAAAGGTATAAAACAGATCACCAACACTTCGTGAGAATGCAGCAGTGAATTTATTTTGTTGACCCGTTTCGACCAGAGACGGTCGTCATCAGAACCTTTTTAAGAAGGTTAAGAAACTTTTCTTAACTGATAGAGTGTTGTTAATGTTTTACTTTAAAATGTGTTGGATATGGTGATGCAGAGTTTGAGACTTAGGCATGTCCGACCAGTCCATACTATGTGTGTGGTTTGGTTGTGCAAAATGTATGTGAACTAACCGACTGGTTGTGTGGATGAAATAAATGTAAACTCATATTTCAGTCTTTCAAATAAATAGACTAAAACCTTTTAAAAGAAATTTCTTCTTTGTCAATTGTAAATACCTAGCCATCACTATGTAAAGGAAAATTTTACCGCATGACACAATCGCTATTTTTAGCCACAGCTGTAATTGACAAATCGCAGTTATTAAAACTAGCTTCATTCAGTGTCAGTTGATATACATATTCTTTAATTAGTTTATTAATATTTAGAATTTTTTTTTTTTTTTTAAAGTTCATTGGAATGTTTTTTAAAACTTAAAATATATGTCCCAATTAACCCAACTCAATTAGGCAAAACTTATTAACAGTCTGTCAAAAGCTGTGGTAGTTGATCTTGACACACTTGGATGTAAAATGTGAATATTACAATTAACTAATATTATAATGTTAATATTATAATGAAACAAAAGTTATTAAAAGTAGCCGGATATTAGAAGTAAATTTGCAAGTTAGGTCAGGGGTAGTGCATTTTTGTTAGGGCTAGTAAAAATTATTGAAAGAAGCAAGACTGGTCTAATACTTAGTGTCAAACCCTGTGATGCTCTTTAAGTATCCCCTGTAGCCTGATGTACAACCTTGGGAGTTCAAAGACCAGCAGATATGGAGCACCATAATTATAGAGGAGTTAATTTGAGGATACCACTATGATGTTCATTTTCAATATGTGTGAATTTCAGGAGTGGTAAATGGTAATCCAAAGGAAGTTAAAGTTGCTCTGACGGGGTTGACACCCAGTACTTCCTATACCTTTGAGTTTGCAGGAGAGAGTGATGCTGGTATAGGGGTATCTACCACAAAAACAGCAAATACACCTTCAGCAAGTAAGTTACTTTGCTATTGGTTAGAAATTATTTAAGACATAATAAATGTAAGTTAACTGTAGTAGAACTCAGTTTGTGAATAGCTTTGACACACTCATATCTGCATGTGGTGTGTATTGGCTTAAGAACAAATAAAACATGAAATAAATGATTGAATTCTTTGACAAGCCATGCTTATGAATGAAATTTTGTATATATTTTTATATGGGCTATATTATGGGATAGGCTTCCCATTCAATTATTTCGGGGGAATAAGTGCTGCAACCCATTAATAGGTCACTGACCTCATTTTGGAATTTTTGTAGTAAAATCATGTCTAGATCATTAGATGTATTGTGTGAGATCATTTATAACCTTGTCAGTTGATATAATTTAAGGTTTAGTGTGTCGTGGCTCTGAAGGAATATTATTTTGATGAGCTACTTCATTGAAAGGTGTATCATGTGCCTCTGCTGCACACTTTATTTGCAGTGTATCGTGAAAATGATTGTGAGGCAAAATCCAGTATAGGAATTGATAAAATTTATCCATCTGTTTACATCAACAATTTTGTGTAGGTGTTGTATTTAGTAGGGCTGGGACGATATATCGATAATATCGATTCAGTGTGAGGAGATATGTATATCGATATATATGAAAAAATATCGCCAAAAAATACTGCTTTATGTTTTTCTTTGTTTACCTAACATTTTGGGTTTATTATATAAAATGCATATGCTAAATATAAATATGAAATACATAATAATTAACACAGCTTGTGTCAAATAATTTTGCTTTAAAACAGATATACAACTTCTTTGAATAAATTATTCTTATTTGTGAAGAATTTTTTTGTTCATTTCAATACAAAAAAAAAAGATTTTAAAACCAGTTCAACATATTGTGATACATATGATATCGTGGCACAAATATCGTGATACATATCGATATAGAAAACGCTGTATTGTCCCAGCCCTAGTATTTAGCTTTGTTGTCACTTATTCCTTGTATCTTCAGACTTCACACATAAGTAGATGAATAGGAATTAAATGTTTTATGTGCACTATTGGAGTTGACCTTCCCTTAAGTTTCATCTTGACATTTGTAAATAAAAAATATTTATTGCTGTTGAATATGACATATTTGCATCATTTTTTTCTAACATCACACAATAGTAATTTACAGTGGAATTTTTGGAATATCACCATCAAAGTTTATCTTGGACTTTCAAATTGATAAAGGAAAAAAAAAAAATTAAAAAACCACTGTTTGAGTTAAACAGAATTTTTCCTTGGCCTTGAAGTTGGCAATAAAGAAAATTTTAAAATACAATGAGGATGACCCATTCTAAACTTCATATTTAGCTCACCTCAACAAAGTTTAAGGGGGGGGGGGGGGGTTATTTGCAACCCTTGGCGTCAGTGTCCCAGTTTTAAGTTTTGGTGCAGTTTTCTTTTGAAGCACTTCTAGGCCCTGTATTAATCAGAGATGCATGGAAGATGCTTCTAATATGTTTCATTGTACCAGTCAAGGATTCAGATGCTGAAATTTCAGCTTAAGAATGAGCAGGTTAATGTTTTTGGGGCAGGTTAAAGTTTTTGGTGCAGTTAAAGTTTGTGGAGCAGGTTCATTCTAAAGTAACTATAAGCCCTATTTTGACCATACTTGCACGAATGATCATCTAAGGATGCACAGTACCAGGTTTGCTTTGGATGCTGGATCTGACCTACATTTTCTGGATGAGTGACTGGGTTAAGGTTTTTGGAGCAGGTTCATTCTATAAGCCCTACATTGACCAAACTTGCATGGATGATACATCTAAGGATGCACACTACCAGGCTTGCTTCTGATGCTGTATCTGACCCTCATTTTCTGGATGAGTGACCAGTTAAATGTTTTTGGAGGAGGTTCATTCTATAGTAACTATTTGCCATACCTTGACCAAACTTGCATGGATGATACATCTAAGGATGCACACTATTGGACTTGCTTCGGATGGTAGATTTGACCTACATTTTCCAGATGAGTGATTAGGTTAAAGTTTTTGCCGCAGGTCCATTACCAAGAAACTGAATGGCGTATCTGAACCAACTTGCATGAATGATGCATCAAGGGATGAACACTCTCAAACATGCTTCAGATGCTGGATTTCAATTACATTTTCTGGATTATTGACTTGTTTGAAGTTTTTGGATAAGTTCATTCCCAAGCAACTGCAAGCCCCATCAGATCAAAATTGCATAAATGTTGCATCTTGGGATGTACACTACTTCATTATTAGTTAAGTTTGGGACTTTGCCTTACTTAAAGACAACATTCCTTGAGGTGAGCTCCGTAATCTCTGATTACCTATGTTTTTACTTCACTCATAAGTGAATCCAAGTTTTTTTTTAAAATTTCTTGTATAGGTGAAAATATGCTTTAAAGATTGCACATAAAGTAAATTCAAAATACTATGTATGCAGTTTTTAACCATTTAGATTCAAGGAATTTAAAGACAGGTACATGTAGTTCTTTGCATGTTCACTATCAGACATGAGATAAAATGAAATCTCTCTCATAAAGTCTATCATTCACAGTAACATAATTTCTGATTTTGTGAATGCAAGAAAATTTATTCTGTAATTTAATTTAGTACATGAGCTAAACATGTTAAAGATTGTAAAGAATTTGAAAAAAAAACTTTTCCTTTATCTTTAAGTCATGTCTATACACACTTACAACCAATTTAGAGCAGTTGCATGTTGCAATATGAACACTTCACAGATTTTTGCAGTAGTGGTGTAAAATGACCACCATGGCTTCTTCTATTGCCAACATATACCGGTACTCAGATTCTTTAAACATGTTAATGTTTTCTTTGTATTCATGTCTTGACAAACCTTTTATGCTGTAAAAATTTGATTTTATGCCTACCTTTGATATGTGTTTGGGTTTCACTTTGTTGGAACCTGCTATCTTTGGTAAATAAATATTCTCATTTCTTAGCAATTTTTTTCTACCTGTTGGGAATGGGTCCAGTATTCAATTGGGAAAAATAGATAGAAAAAGGTGAATTTTCTGCCATGTCAATAAGCGAAATTTATTTTGCATTTATTCTAACCTTATTACATATAAATCCATGATTTTAAGAATATACAAGTAATCATTGTTTTACATATTATTTTAATGCTTTGTTCTCAAGTTATCATGCTTTAAAGTAGTCAAAAATGTAAGACTCTAGGCTGTCTACAGCATGCATACAGCCATGTTACAACTGATCTCACTTTAGATTAAAGAGGCAGTGAAACATTTAGTCATAATATGAAAAGAATTACAATGTCATCATAGTCTGTTCCTCAGCAGTTAAATTGTGAATTTTTTGTCTCAAAATTGGAGAAAAATTATAACATTTTTAGCATTGGAATTGTACCGTTTATCAGTACCAGTTATATAAGGGAAAAAAACCCCCTTGTTTCTTCAAGTCCATACAAAGCAATAAAACTTAATGTTTGTTTCCTTGTATTATAAACTTGATTATTATTGAATTGTTATTGTGTATGATGACCTTTATTTCAGGAGAGCCATATAAAGTTGTTATCCAGAATCCCCTTAGAGATGGTGAATATCCAAATAAGTACAATTTGCAATGGGAAACACCCAAGGATGGAGGTTCTCCAATCCAGTCTGTTAGAATCTGCTATAGGAGGGTAAGGTTTGGAAATTTTAACCAGTGTGAGTTCAATATATTATAATTAAAGATGAAACTGCATGATTAAATCACTCTCTGGGAATCTACTTTTTCCATGATTTCTTTAGTTTGAACAACAAAGACACTTTTTTATGAATACTCCAATGAAAAGGTTTCAAAATACAGTAGCAGTATTCTTTTTGATGGTGAAAAAAATTATTTCTCCCATTGTGAAACTCAAGAAGGTTTCTTACACATTAATGAAAATATGTCAGTGGTTGAAATACAAGGTAGCCTGACGTCTGGTGCTAATCATTTTGAGACTCAGGCTAGCTAATTTAAAAGTAACGATAGTCTGTTGGACTAGCAGACCAGAAAAAATTCTCATCAGTTAACTAGACTGGTTTCTTTTGACAGAGAACTAATTTAATTTGTTTCTGTCACCAAAGCGTTTGAAACTTTTACTTGTGTTATGTTTTCATTTTGCATAAAAAATTGTTGGGTGAGTTCTCACCCAACAATGAGAAGTCGATTGTCTATATTTGGGGCCAATGAAAGGCATTCTCAATTCAAAAAGGGGAACCTTTTCCCCCAACTGAGGTACTGATTTTATTAAAATTTATGAAAGTCATAAAAACAAAAAAATATATTTGGATAACTTGCTACTCATGTTTTTTGTATATTGCAAAACAGAAATTTGGTTGATAGCAAAAACAAGAAACCAAAAATATGATGAGTTTTAATGTATAATGATTTTCCCCAAAAGGTCGGTAATTTTTCCAATTGTAGTGCCCCTGACCCCATTCCCAAAAAGTGATGTGATGGCCCTGAAATACTAAATATAAATTATGGTTTTGCCAAACATAAGTCTTTTCATAACCATGCTTTACAGTAAACTGAAACGGCTCTTATTTTGACCTTACTTTTATCTCACTTGGCAAAATTCCACAAGTGTACATTCTTTCCAAAAATTTGTAAACTAACAGCATCACTTTATGTGTCTTGATTACATGTATAAAGATTTGAGAAAAAAGGTAACTTTGTAATGAGTCACTCAGGTGACCTATTTCTATTGGTCTTCATCCATTAATTGTCATGTGATATATGGGTCATGCATCTTTACTTTTTAATTTCTTAAATAATAGTAGGCTAATTGCAAAGATAAAAGTCAAATAACAAAGTCATGATCAGTATTTCATAGAATTTAATTTTTATGATTTCAAGGAAAACAGTCAAAAATAGCTGTTCGTTAGAGTTTAAATGTTTTTCTTCAACATAACAATAGTTACACTAACCCTTTGTCAGAGTTTAAGTCTGAATTCACTGTACCTTTATCGTCTAGGTGAAGGTTCGCCCAGAACTGTCACCCACAAATGAGTACCAGTTTGTGGAGCAGATCACAGGATTTGTTTGTAATGATGCACAACCGCAGCAGTCCTCCTATATGCTCACTAATTTGGAACCCTCCACACACTATCAAGTTAATATTCAGGCGCGCAATCAAAAGGGGGATTCAGAGGACAGCTTTTTCATCTTTAAAACCAAAAGTCGTAAGTTAATACTTATTCTTCATATTTTATTCACACCACATCTATGTGAGTTTTTTTTTAAAGTTAATAGCCAAAGTTTAGTAAAAGGATGACTAAGAAGGGGGAATAAAGTCATCTTTTAAGCTAACCTGAGCCAGAAGCTCAAGTTTTTCTGACTAAAGTTTCTGTGGTGTCTGTCATCTATTCTCATTAACTTTAAAAATATTTTGACTTCTTCACCAAGACCACTTTATTATTTTCAATCATACTTGGCCCAAGGATTTATCTTTAATCTAATGAAAGAATGAAGGCATTCAAAGGAAGAAAATGAAGAAGTAATAATTATTTAATTAAGAATTTCTTATAAGAAATTGCTATTATTGTTAGAAAATGCACTTCTGTAGTACACTTACCACCTGGTTAGAGAAGCAATGCAATTAAAAGCTTATTGGAGTTCAAGTTTATGTGAAATCTGTTTGATAAGACTAAAAAAAATTCTGCTGAGGAAATGCTAAAATTGTCAAAGTTAGAAATATTCATCTATGTATGTAAAGATCAAATCATAGTTTTGAGCTAAAATTGAAGCCAGATTACCAAGCCTTTTGTCGGTCAACACATTGGGAAACACCATGCATTTTCACATTAGGATTATTTATCGTCAAGAGAAAAGACCCAGGAAGACATTTTAGCCCTTGAGCCTAGTCAGCCTTATTAACCAGGATTAAGATTTATTAATTATAATCATTACCTGTTTGAGCTCATTACCTATGGTTTTGAGAATTCACTCAAAATAAAGGCTACTTTTATTAAGATAAAAGCCCTCTGTTGCAAGAGGTTTTCTTTTACTGTTATAGAAAGAAATTGGTTTATATATACTCTTTAAAAATAATATTGTGAATTAGTTTTTGACAAATTCAATTATGTTATAGCGCAGCTGGTGACCCAACCCCAAATTGGTAAGATGTGATTTGCTGAAGTTCTTTCAGATTTTTCAGCATGAGTCTCAATTTTCCATTGACACTGAGCTATTATAATTAGAATTGTGTAACCTTTCTATTTTGGATAATTTTGAGAACTGCTTCATTTTGTTGGTTTTATTGAATATTTCTGAAGAAAGGCTGATAAAGGAGAATGCAGATTTAAGAGATTAATTGGGTCCAAAAAATTCTATTGAGAAGGAATAAGAAATACTGTATTATAAAGAAATTTCACCATTTAGGGGGAGAATTGAAAAGAAACTTAAGTTTCACTATTTGTCTCTGATGCGTTTTGAGTGTCTTGAGCTATGGTTATACCTACACATACTTTGAAATAATTAAAGAGCAGAAAATAAAATATTCACAGGTTTCTGTCAATGGAGCTTTGAGACTCTACACATTTCAGACAAATCAATCACAATCCAGAGGTTTTCATGCTTAATTGTGTTATGAAGTCATTCTCAAAGTTCTTGTTATATATTTTCTTTTAATTGTTCAGCATGGAATATTCCCCATATCCATTATAGAGTGTATGATGAAATTGTGTGAAGACACAAGATTAAATTTGGCAAATATTAAATTGCTTGGGTGTGTTTATCCACAAGTCTTTTAAAGACTTTCCAATGGCGTAGAAAGACAGCGAATAAATCCAGATGGTGCAGAGAGACAATTGGGAGAGAGTTAAAAAGTTTCTGATTTAATCCTCATGTTGTAAAAACTTCTGAGAAGACCAGTCATTTCCTATGTTTGTTACATTATGATGATTTTTTGTAGTAGCAGGTTGTCCTTTAGACTAAAAGACCTTGACCTTTGACATTGCATGATAAATACTATTTAAGCATGGAATTTGTCATAATTTATATGCATGAAAAACTACAATAAATACTTAGTCTGATTAAGCAAATCAATATATATTAAGCTTTGTATGGTACAGTGTATTTTGAAGTGGTTTTGAACAATTCAGACATATATATGCATATCTTTACATATTTCTAGCTGTCAGTGGTTTTGTTGTTCAGATCTAATAATAATATTTTCATGACCAGTGTGAGATGTAAAACCTAGCCATAAATTTGATAAAAACAGAACTAGACTTGATTATACCTCTATACTTTGTACATGTACAGTTCTATTCTGTCTCTAAGTAAGAGTGATATCTGTACAGTTTGTCTGTATACTTAAGACACATCTCGGAGCATGAACCTTTCTTCATTAATAATACTGCATGTAGTTGCAAGAATAAAACATACATTGAAATTCTATCCTAAAGGTTAAAATGAGGTTTGAATAACAGACTAGAAAGACTTCTCATTACTGAATGCGTGGATCCTTTTCACACTTTCAGATTTTTTCATGATACTTAATTCACACTCTTAGATTTTTAACAAAAATCTGGTAAGTTGTATTCCATATTGAATATTACATAAGTATTCTCTGAATGGTTTTATTTACAATTCAAGGAAAGGTCTTTGGCAGTATCTGTAACACCCCCTCCCCAAAAAATATCAAAGATACATTATGGTAGATCCATTCTTCACTATTGCTCTCACTGATTTGATGCGAGTTAGGAAATTTCATACTGAAAATTGACCAGGTATATATTCATACAAACTAAAATGTTCTCAAGACTTCTAAAAGCATGTGGGGCTAATGTGTGGCCAGAAGGATATTGCACAATGGCCCTTTCTATAGTGACTTCTACCTAGTATATATTAATTATTTGTTGTTTCTGAATCTTTTGAATTATTTGCATGCTTTTCTTATTTTATGTTGTGCATGATGTAATTGGTTTCATTTTGCATTTTCCCACAATTATGATGTTGGAAAGTTGGGATTTGATTTAAGTCAAAGTTAGAACCCAAGACATTTATTTTAGATACTGGTTTACTGAAAATAGAAGGAAAAAAAATCCTGCATCCATTTTGTTTAAAACTTTTCTGTGTTGTTTAGACAATGAATTTTCATATAATTACTTGGAAACATGAAGTTTTTACAATTTGAGGCATTAAATTTCATTGAAACTCAATTGTATATGGTTTAAATTCTTTAAAGATCAGTTGTATCGAGCAGGTAGGGTAGAAATCAGGTCCATATAAAGTTTCTAACATCAATACAGTGAAAGTAAAACAGCTACTTGTGCACCATGTATAAGACTTTGTGTTCCCATGGACATAAACTAATATTTTGGTAACACAAATTCTTAATTTGCTTATCTCCCAATAGATGTTTTATCAAGCCTTTTCTGTATGTGTAGTGAGTCATTAAATTCCTTTTATTTTGCTTTTCAGCTCCTTCTTCAGGCTATGTTGGGAGTAATTCTGCCTCCCTGTGCCAAAGTCACCTACCTTGGGTTTTTCTAGGGCTGTTAACTGCATGTATATTGGCAACTCTCTAAGGCGTAAGGCAGCAACTATGATAACTGAAAAATGAGTTATTGACACCAGCGAGAAAATGACCGGTGAAATCAATTGTCAAAAAATCTATCAATCCAGAAATTATTGCTGCATTCCTCAGTGTTTGATATTATGCAACTTTTATTTACACCAGGAAGCATGATTTTGAAATAACTTGCAGATGATATTCAGTAACATCAAACATTTTTTTCCTTAGGATTAAAATGGGAACGATTATATAAATACTCAATTTTAATAAGTTGACAAAAAAAATACAAGCATAAAACAGAGCTTGTATGTTCGAAGAACCTGCCAAGGATCACAAGTCGAGAAATCCATTTTGATATGTGTATAAAGATTTTTGTCATGTTTGTAGATCACTTGTACTTTTCTTTTTTGTATAGCTATTTTGCTTTTGTTATTAACTTTGTAAGAGTAGATTACACAGAGATAATCTGTTTGAGATGTACAATATAGGAGTCTTCAGACTGTCTGCCAGTATTTTTTCTGTAATGTACTGTATTTTACGGGTCTCATATATATAATACTTAACATAGATAGAGGTCATTCATTATCATTTGATTATTTACCAAATAAGGCTTTTAATTGGCCTGTTAATGATTGTATTTGACAGAGTTAGGATAGAAGTAATGCTGTAATAATATTCTGCCAGGATAAGGTGGTTAATATTTTTATAAAGAATGACAAAAGTCGATGTGAATATAGTTTCTAAAAGTGCACAGAAGCAGTATTATCAAAAGCGCATCATAGATGTGAAATGTTTTGGTAAATTTTTAGTGTTTGGCTTTTATCTTTTCAGGACAATTACATACATGTAGTACAGTTATAAGTTTTTAAGGAAAATTTTAATGCTTGAAATAACCAATATCATAATACTATTTGTTATACCTTTAAAAATTGGTTCTTGTATAAATCTGTACCAAAAAAGTCAAACATTTCCAATGTTTTACTAAGCGGTTATTAAAAAAAAAATCAATGTTTGACCGCAGAGTGAGATATTGGACCAGTCGATGAGATATTGGACCGCTTACGTCACACTGTGGGCGGGATAAGCTAGTAAATCTTATGTGCATTAGTTCATATCATTGCTGGTCGACAGTGACAGAATTGATCGAGTTTTAGTACATGTACAGGAAATTTACGTCATGGAAGCAAGCACAAGATACATGAATGTAAATAAAAAAAATAAAAGGTATAGCAAAACAATTACTGACTGTTGAGTTATCGGGCAAAATGTGTTTTGTCTAGTCCATGAACCAAACTGTTTGCCTTCGGCCTAACGGCCTGAGGCAAACAGTTTGGTTCTTGGGTCCGACAAAATGCATGTTGCCCTCGAACCAAGTCAATAAATGTATAGTGTTGCCATGGAATGAAAGAATATGACTGCTTGTTATATTTTCTGCATGGTAAATTTGCACAAAATTATGTATACCATTTAACCACATATATTGTAAATTGCATTATTAGTGTGTTATTTTTGTGTATGTTGGCATGTGTGTTGTATGTTGTGTGTTTTTATGTACAGGTATTGGAAAAATCATTTGACATTGAAGATACTCTTAAGCAAATTTTAACTTAAATAATCATATATAGGTATAGACATCCACAAAAAATAAATATGCCAGGAAGAATATGCTTCTCCAAAAATGAATTTAGGCAACATTGTGGTAGAAGTGAAAGGTTAAGATAGGCATAACTAAAGTTCTGTGGTTGTTGACACATGTATATACATAGTAATTAAAAGTATGAGGTAGTTGTGAGCACAAATCATTAACTTTGATGTGAATTTATAGCTTATAAGGGAATGTGTTCAGGTTGTATTCTTTATATATAGAGAGTGATTGTTTTATAGATCATCATGAGTAAATAGTTATACAGGGACTGTACAGATACTGGTGTTGTGATGGTGTTAGAAGTTATATATTACTGCAGTAAACTTAATTGTTGTAGGATGCATGCATTCAAATGACTGAATAAGGAGAGATTTCCTTGTACAGTATTATTGCACTGTACTGAACGTAAAAGTAGGATGTTAAAAGAAACACTAAAAGATAAAAGAGACAAAAATTCTACAGAAATATGAATATATAGTTTTAGACATTCTTAGAGTTATAAATACATCACAATATATTAAAAGTCACTAAAACTAGGTGTAAGACTCAAAATGGTGAAGACAGGAATTCTGTTGTTGATTAGATTTTAGGAGTCATTTAAGGTGTTTGTACAGGTGACTGATAAAACATTCCAAATTAGGAAAGGGAGGTGGTATTTTGAGCAAAAAAGAAGATAAATCTTGTTAAGTCAAGTACTGCACCCAGGAATAGGAAATGAAGATGAGATGTTCAAGTGATCTTAGGATTATTTTAAGGATATCAGTTTTTAGGATTTAGTTTTATATTCATGATATTTATAGCCCAAGTAGGCTTTCTTTGTACTCTTGCAGTTTTTTTTTTTTTTTATCTTATTTTATGAACATTTTTGTTTGGTAGAGTGAGTGGTCAAAATGTTTTTGTCTGTTTTGTTTTAGAAAATGATGTCAGATGATATTGGTGCTTAACTTTTTTTTTATTCTTATATAAAGCATGCCCAAGTGGTGGTAATTGCTGTCTTTTTTTCCCTTGTTTATTAAGAGGTACAATGTACTTTAACTATTCTTTTGTGCAAATTGCAATATTCCAATATTTCTCCCCATATATTGAAATCAAAGATTGTAGTTATATTATAATTATGTTGTAATCATTACATTGAGGAATAGCTGTTGTTGGTATATTCTAGATACCACTTTTATATACCTGTAGTTGTTGAGTGTTCTCAAACATGGTGTAACCACTGGATAAATGCAAGAATACAAACACTTTATTTGAATAAATAAATGTGAACAAAGCAATAGACAAAGGAGATGGGTGATTAGGTGAGCAAAAATGCCTATGGTGCTGCAAATAAGAAAGTGAAAAATTAAATCTCAATTATATAGCAAATTTTTTTATGATATTTCATTTGACATTAAAGTATAGTTTATGAAAAATTTTCACATTTTGCAACAATCTCACAAAGATTGAAATTATTTTAATGAAATGGCATACACACACCAAGAGGGTCATATCACAAACTTGATTTTAAATGTCTATATTTGTCATGAGTTGTGTAGTGGTTAGTGTGTTAGTCTCAAAGGTGGGGAAAAAAAAGAATAATCAGAGTTTTAATTCATAGAATAATTTTTGCAGAGAGAACTTTCAGCAGAAAAGTTGTTTGCCTTGATTTCATACCTTTCAATATAAGAAATTAACTCAAAAAATTAAATTCACAAATTGAACATGATTTTTATACTTTTTAAGCTATATAGGCATTTTGCTCGCGTTGTTTGCCCTTCTCCTTTATTTAAATGACCATTAAATTTTTGTTTTTTAAGGACACTTTGTAAGCAATAGTAAGTATGTTGTATACTAGTAGTGTAGCAGAAACATTTCTCAATTCTGGGTGTACTGTATAAATGTGCTACATAATTATACATTTGTTAATATTAATGATTTTTTGCATTCATGTTTTAATAAAACAGTAAATAATTTAGAAAAACCATAAATTTTAGCATGTTTTTTTTCTCAGTGACCTTGGACTGTTTACAATGACGGAATGATTCAGCTGTATTGATTAAATATTGGCTACGTATGCAGAGTCAGCAATTTTCAGCCATGTTTGCTAGGCTTAGAAGTATTACTCTTGGGTTTAGGTGTCAAGTGCAGGACATGGTGTACTATTCTTTATTTTTATCTTTTTTTTTATTTTTGGATGTTTGGATATTTTAAGGAGCAATTTCACACCCAAAATTGCTGTTAATGCATAATATAGATTAGATATCCGTTGAAACGTTTTATGAAGAGTCAGGTAGATATGTTTTTTTTAAATAAATATTTAATTGATTTGTATGATTTTATTAAAGTACCAAAATATTTTAAGATTTAGATATTTTAATTGCAACCCCAACAATTTTTGACATTTTCTCAGAAAAATGCAAAAAAATAAATAAATAAAAAAATAAATAAAATAAATAAATAAATAAATTTAACAAAAAAAAAAATAATAATAAATAAATAAATAAAAATAAATAATTTAAAATAAGGTTAAAAAAACTTAAAGGGTCTTTCAAATGCTGAAATCATTTTTTAAAAGAGGTGTTTTAAGATCCAGGACATGTAAATATAATTTAGGTGTGGCATTCCTCCTTGTTTGTCAATGATGAAGTTTGAATTAACTTACATTGAGGTCACAAAAGAGGTCATTTTTAATATTTTAGTAGGGAGACCTTCAGAAATTGGATGACAGTGTATGAGTACACAAAGAAAGTGGGTATTTCATGACAAAACACCACTGATATTTTTGAAAGATTAATTAACATGAATAAAGGAAGGGCAAACTGCGTTAATTAGATTGGATATTTTCCTACAGTTTTGACAATATTCACAAAGATGGAGATAAAAATGACATTGAATTTAATTTGTTAAGTAATAGGGGGCATAGGGTCATTCTTCAAAATATAAGAGGCACTGGAAAAGACATTATCAAGATGTCTAAATGGTCTCTATGGATATGAATTATCATCAAATTACAGTGTATCGAATGTGTGAAGCGAAAATGTTTCCGATCAATACCGACTGGATTTTTATTTGACCATTTCCTGAAAATGTCTTGTATACAATTTCATCATACAAACTAACAGTCTTCTTTTCATTTGATACTATACGTACGGTAAATGTTAGAAGAATTGTTCACTTTAGATTAGATCTAGATGATCCGTTGAATTTTTTTGTGTTTTATACTAAATTTAAATTTTATTCAGGTATGTGTTTATGTTGAATTATTTCAAAGGCTTTCATGTTTCACCAGCCAATTATTATAATTATAGAGACATCAGCACAAACACAAACTACAGATTCCAATCCGGAACCCGATCCGGCATTTTCCTCTGGAGGTAGCGATCCCAAATTATTGCAATGTTGCGTGCATGCGAATCAAAACTGCTTGCCTAATTTGTATTTAAGCATCACATGGAAGTAAATCTATCCAGTTTGGCTTGACAAAGCAATGTTTCCCTGTTAAAAAAAATAAAATGAAATAAAAAGGTCATCAATATGAAATTATATTTACGCTTGGCACACTTCAGAATTTATTACTTGTATAATGACTACAGGATTATGTTCGCCCCTTGTTATTTTCGCCCTGTCATTCTTGAAAACCATTTCGCCCCGTTTTAAATCTACAATTAAAGAGATATAACTCTTCTTTATGTTGAACCCTGTTTTGAATTCGTTCGCTGAATACGAGGGTGAAAATAAAATGGGAGCGAAAATTTCCATGAATAAAGTATATCCTGACCTCCTTTCAGCATACACATACAGACCCGAGGCATGACTATTGCAGATTACATAATGAATGTCTCGGTTTGAAAAATTAAGCATTCCAATGAAGAACTACCAGACTAGCACCATAGGTTCCGAATTCATCTTAATTTTATGATACTAGTATATATGAAAACAAACTTCATTTTAATTATCTCTGATTGGTTAATATTTTTTCTCTCCAAATAGTCTGAGAATATACGTTGTTGCATTTAGTTTTCAAAATCCCAATACTGAAATCTTCAGAATTATGTCGACTTGCAGAACTTTAATGAATATGAAAGCCTTTATTGTGCATGATGTATATATATAGAAAACAATTACGTTTCACACTCTCTGATGTTGATGGGACGACTTATTCAACTAATTACTCTGGTTCCATTTTTAATTGAACGTCTCCAAAGTATATTTATAAACCCCCAAGCGGTAACTTAAGTAAATTTGTTGATTGAATTATTGACTCTTGGTGAAATGCTGACGTGTACAAATGTCACTCGAATTAGTCTTTGTAAATAATAATCCCTCTCCCTCATTTCCTAAAAACAAAATACTTCGTTTTCTCTATATTTTACGACCGAAAAGGCACTGTTGTTTTTAATTGTCTGAATGAAATACCGACAGTTCCATTGTTTGTCAGAACATGTATATACAAGTATACGATAACAAATCTCAGTTTTATACGGAAACACCCTTTCTGTAAATAAACTAGAAATATTTTACTCCAAAAATACATGAAAAGTCGTCTTACCAACTTGATAGAGTGTTAGAGGGAAGATGTGATAAGGTGTTTTATTATACTTTCATGTTAAATACTAAAATCTGATTGGTTTAGACGCATTTAACAATCCGTAATGTTACCCTCAGCGTTAGCAACACACTTGACAACGGGTAACATTACGAAAATATCACATGCGTTCAAATCATGCGCGTACGGTTCACCGTAGAATTCTCAAAACGTCGGTTGTGCGTTTGAAAGAAGGCGAATAAACGACGTCAATATAAGCTTGCGTCCGATGTAGCTTACTTGAAAACAACAAACGACAGACGAAACATCCTTGCGAGTACAAACTTTAGATGATAAAGGACTTTTTGAGTAGCAAACAAACAATAAAGAGGTTGGTAAATCTTTTCCGAAGCTTTCTTATTGAGAAAAATAGAAGCGGGGAGTTTGAAAGCTTTCTAAGCGTGACCTTAACGAAGATCTCCGAATTTTTTTATGACATCCGAAATCAAAAAGACATTCAGTATAATAAAATAAATAGTGCACGTTTTTGAGGGTAACAGTTGAAATTGACACCCCTCGGAAAACCATTGTCAACCTCCGCTGACGCGTCGGTTGACAATGATTTTCCTTGGGGTGTCAATTTCAACTGTTACCCTCAAAAACGTGCACTATTTATATAATGTTGACTAGCGATATAATGATGAAATATAGAAGTAACAACATTGTCTGATGATCATGTCATATGTATTCTTCACTTAAGACTTGAATCATAAGTAAAATAGATTTGTCACAGATTAAAAACAAATAATAGAATTTATCAATGTTTGTCCAAGATAGCAAGCATTAAAAAAGTGAGATCATGCATTAAAACAAGCAGTTGAAATAAAGAGCCTTTAGGACTGTGTTATCAATATCTAAAATGAGAACTTTATTCCTATTAACCAGACTTTCAAAGACATACAAGAAACATTGAAAGCAATTAATAATTGTATTCAGTTCACGTAATATAAAGTCCTTATCCTCCAAATGAGTCCTTTGGTAATATTGTTTTCAAAAGACAACAGAACATGATAAGCCATCTTCCTTATTTGTTAATGTATTTGACTTAAACTGCCGTGGTACACCTCCTGCCCCTACATTCAAGATCGTCCGAAATTTGAGCAAGGAGTATGAATTTTGAGTTGGAGTAACACCTCCAACCCCACCAGTTTTTAGTTTAATCTTTTTTCAAATTAGCTGCTGAGGTGTGATTCATGAATAAGGTGTAACATTTACCGAGTAAGTCTTCTGTGAAGAACGATATGGCTTCTTTATTTTTTGGCCTTTTCTTTAATTAATATAGCTAATTATATAAAAGACAAGACACCTTATCTCTCTCCAAATACCATCCCCACGATGTCAGGGGTCCTATGTCAACTCAGTCGTTGCCGTGGAACAACGACAACGAGTTGACACAGGACCCCTGACGCTGTGAGGTCTTCCAAATACATGTAGCCTCTTTGTATATACATTGTATGTGTGCTTGTCTGAGTTGATTTTGTGTATGTTCTATCTTTCAGCCTTTTTGTACTTCGTGGTAGTATAGAAGAAATTTGCATGGCAACTTTGGTATACATTTTATTTGCTTTGTATATTTTGAATTTTTTGTTACAAAAGCGTCTTTGTTGTAAATTAAAAAAGCATGATTGTTTACCTTTTATTTTTTTCTTTTCATATTAATATTCATTATAAAGTTTTCTATTGAAAATAATTTTCTTTCACATGTCTCTTAATTTAGATAATGTTTATCATTATGTCATACATGCAACATGTTGATATTTCAATTTTTTTTTATTGTCATGTAAACCAATGAAAAGGCATGCTTTCAATTATTATACTTCTATGCAGAAGAAAAAGGTGGTCTACCTATTGGTGTGATCATCGCTATAATCATCATTGTTTTCATCGTTCTCCTTATCGTCGTTGACGTGACATGTTATTATAAGAGAAAGTGTGGCGTTATCATGTGCCTGAAAGGAAAACTTGGTGGCGGATCAACTGCAGGAGCCGGGAGTGGATTGAAGGACGCCGAGAAAGGAGGAGATGAGTACGTTTATTTGCTCTTTTGAAAACAAAATAAAAATTTCTGTTTACACTCCAGCTTTCTGACTGTAGAATAATCATTTGTTTATTTTTTTTTTCTACCCAGTAAAGATAAAAAGTCTGACAAACCAACTGAGAAAGAGTAAGAGCCAGTACATGTTATACTCCCTTTTCAGAACTAAATGGATTTGCTTTCATCTTAATAACGTATTTCAGATTTACCCATTTCTTTTTTCCGAATGAAGACTTGTTTCACAAAGTCTAAGGCCTCTGTGTCTAAGGCCTCTTTGAACTTTTTCTGATCAGAAATAATTGTTTTTTGATTGTCTGGTGTCATTTTTTACCGACTTCTTCTACAACAACATTTTGTCCTTGTTTGGC